TCTGTTGTTGTGTAAATGAATGGGTTGAGAAAAAAAGTAAAAAAAAATACTAAAAAAAGTACGAAAAAAAAGTACTATCTGTTATTATGTAAATGAATGGATTGAAAATAATTACTGTTTCGGAATGTTTCAGAAAAAAAAAGAAAAAACTAAACTGTAAAGGTTAACATTTAGATTTACAAGGATGATCATATGATCATCAAATAGTTACAAAAGCAATTTTATAGATATTGAATAAACCGGCGAAGTGTTTTATCAAAATTGCAAGAAATTTGTGAATCGGTTTCATGTCGTTTTTGAAAGATACCATTTGCTTGTAATGTATATTAGATTTTTAAGTTATCAATTAAAAAAGTGATTTGACTTGTAAAATCAGGAAAAGAACTTCTTTTAAGTAATATATATATATAACTGTAATGTTAACATTGTAACTTTTCCGTAAACAAATTTTTGACTAACTGCTGGAAGTTACAAAAAAAAAAAAACAGCTGCGGAAACGTGTAAACTCTAAGCTGAACATAAGCTGAGCAAACATTCTAACAAGACAATCATCGATCATATGAAATCCTGCTCTACAGATCATATATTTCATAGATCGATCAAATTAGAAAATAGAATTTCTTGATAGTATAGATTAGACGTTGGAAATGATTAGATGTTTGATTACCAATTAGCTTAAATAGAACAAATTTTCAAAATATTTCATCATCAAACATTTGAAAAAAAAGGATGAGTAGAACTTATTAGTGATCATAGAATGGAGCATGTAAGTGCAAAATTTCACAGTAGTTTAATCAAATTTTGTCACATTCATTCGTATCAAAATTTCATTCTTTGTTCTCAACTCTTTTTCAGTGTGAAATATTTTAATTGACAAGGCCTTACTTTTAGCTTCAAATTTTTTAACTTAAATTAGCAAAAAGTCTTTTGCATCAGTTGTTAGGACATTCTTGCTTCATCAATATTATTGTGTTAATAAAATGAGCCAAGCGATTTTATCTGAATATATGATTGCTAGTTAATTAATGTACTTATCCCTAACAACATTTCATTCTAAAAATTTCTTATTTTATATAAAATATTTTTCTAAATTTCAATCTTTTCATCACAGATATTAATTTGCGGTACTGTTCAAATCGTAATGATTTGAAATATATTGTGAAATTGGATAATTAATGAGTAAACAATAGTACGCGAGCAGTTTATGATTTATTTGGACATTCATGCAAATCGAAGGAGTGATAGCAATAATTGAAAAATAAGCGCCAAAAATTTTGATTGTGATATGTTAATTTATGAGCTATCGTTATCACATTAGTTGTACACTATCACTATTTTGATGTTATTTGTTTTCGTAATTTATTTTCATTTTCATTGTCACTCTGATTAAATCATTGTAGCAACCCTTCTGGACTAATATCTGCAGCTATTGTCACTATCACTGATTATATATGAACAATAAATGAGAAAGCTTTTCAAATCAATGCAAAAGATAAAGGAGTTTCAGACTGGTTTCTTTTCATTTTTGTTTGGTAAATTTCCTCTGCACATTTACTTTATCAAAAAATATATAGAAAATTAGTTATTATTTTTAAAGGTGTTATTAAGAAGTTATTATATCTCTTTTTCTTTTTAATTTTCTTTTATTTTAATGAAAACTGATATAATGGTAGGTGACTGCTTAATTATTAGGCAAGTGATAATTAACTTTTATATCATAACAACCTACTAATTAGAATACACAGTATGCTTAAAGAGTCATGAGAATATAGTATACAATTAAAGGAATAATGATTTCCTATTAACTCTGTTGGGGTGACAGTCCTGCCAGTTTACATTGCGAAAAGTTCGTTCACTATGGAATGTAGGTGCATAATGTTAGCATAAAAATAACATATAATGTTAACATGCAAAATAAAAAATAAACTCATTAACTAAGTTACCATTGGTGAAACATAAATTAGAAGATAAAGATAAATGAAAGGTAAGTGAAATTGAGAAAATACATTTCACTGAGATAGGTTTAACTTTTTTTTTTATCCTTGCAAGAAAAAAAGAAGCTTCGATGAACCTTTTCCTTGTTTTCCTTTTTTTTTTCGTTTTAACAAATTACTTTTAAATTTTATTAGTATAGTAGAGCATTTTCTTTTTAGCAGTAAACTTTTCTTGTTCATTCTTGTTCTTTGTCGAAATAAAAAAAAAACTCTTTGTTTTCATTCAAGAAGTTAGAATTTTTAAGAATAGTTTTTAGAAAATAGGAATAGGAATACATTTTATGGAACAAAGTTGTCAAAATATCAAAAAATCATTTTTTGTAGTTTTAAATTAATAAATCGTATTTTTAATTGACAAAAAAGTTCCTGTTTTTTTTTTTTTTTGCTCACAAGATTATATCCATTAAATTAAATTTTAACAATATCTCATATGCACTATGAATTGATTTGTAAAATTATGAATAGATATGTCGATTTAATTCGTTTGAAATATACTGATTATTTGTTCTCATGAAATTTCGTTTAGATATTTTAATTTTCACCCGAGCACTACTATTTCATGTTAAATTTCAAATAATTAATAAAATAACTTTTCTTTTATTCGAATAATTGATTTAGAAATTTATTAGTGAGATATTTAAATTCAAGCCTCCTCAAAAAGTATATAATATATAGTAATAGCGGCATCACCGCGTATTATATTACATTAGAAGACGAGATTAACTTTATCTTGACCCCAATAACCTCGAGAATAGATTGATTCAAGGATAATTTCGAAATCAAAATTTT